GCGCTTCAGACCTTTAACATCGCTCTTGGGAAGCTACTAACATCGGACAGCTACTGGTGAATTTTCAGTCCACAATCTGGCAGAGTCCGCGTCTACGTTACGAACCGTCATTAGATTCCTCGCCGACATCCACACAAAATCACAAGCTTTTCGAGACTTCACAGTTAAATCCCCCTACGTACAAGAGCTGTTCTTCGTGCTCTTTCCAATCGTAGTCAGCGCCAACACTGTCAGCCCAGAAATGGAACTACATTCCCGGGACTCTGCACTGACTTTCAACGGCAACGACGTGATCATGAGACCTTTGTCTGCAAACTCAATGAAAGGAGTCCCAGTGGTAAGAACTGCTACAGTGGAACCTTCCCAGAGGCTCAAACCCTTAAGGAATCAAGCACCCAAAAGAATGTCATCGTATATCCTTGTGACATCAGACCTGTCAAATCCGGGACCCTCAGCTTCCAAGCTACAACCAGTGATTTCGCCTAGCAGATTCAAGCCTGTGTCAAACCTCAGTAGCTCAATCGTAGAAGAGCTCTTGGAGTTGACGATCGCTGTCTTTTCCGATCAGATATTCACAAGGAAGGACTTCCCAGGGCTGGGACTATTCATGAGAGTGCCGCCAGGATTCCAGGAACACCAGGCCTACTTCGAAACATTTATCCTTCGTAACACCCTGTCACATTTAGGGAATACGATCAAATTGAGTCAGAAGCTCCTTTGGGAACCACGAGTTCTCACGAACATAGCGCGTTTCGCTGCACATCTGGGAGAAGCTATCTACGAAGGCTGGTTCATCAGCGGTGCAGAAGATACCTTGGACTTCTTGGCCAACATCTTAGAGTATCTCCAGCTTCCAAACATCTCCTCAATCAAGGCCATCAGACTTTGCAGTCAGATCATCACCAATATCAGAACCGTTCTGCTACGAGTAGTGCTTCTCCGGCTGTCCGAATTAGATGACGTGGCATCGAGCAATGTCACTGTTTCATTCTTAAACAAGCTTGCCTATTGGCAGACAGTTTTGATACCAGCAGAAGATCCGCAGGATGGCTTCCTCAAGTTGCTATGCTATCTGGTCTACAATAGATTAATTGGTACCAATAACCATGTGCGTATGGCAGCTGCGAATCTATGGCGGATGCTGCTCGTTCAGAAAAATGGTCAGATCTCTGCAATCTTCCAACAGGCAAGCACTGTGGGTAGCGACGCCCTCACAAGAGGGTTCGAAAAGATCATGGAGCTTGACAATGAAACATTCCTTGGCTGGGTGGACGATCATCGCGAGGGTCTAGACAGCGCCTTATTTGCCGCGTTGTCAAAGTCGTGGGAATCTTTCGTTGGCGAGGAGAATCGCAGGACTGAGGACACAGCGAGGGCAAGAGTCAGCAAGAGGAGGGAGAAACTGAAGCTTTGGGCATCAGAAAATGCTTCAACCGATGAGATTCTCAGACATCACGAGACGGGAACCGATCACTGGCGATCGAACATCTACGCTGCGGAGCATCTCAAGCGACAACGTGCTCTGCAAGACCAGCAAGACAGCCAAGTATTCAATGCAGCGATATGGGCAAAGATGAACCTGGAGCTTCGCCGACCTTGCGGTGTCTTCGATAGTATGATCAGTCCAAAATGGCAGCTTGATCAAACAGAAGGGCGGAACAGGATGAGGATGCGATTCATTACTGACAAAGACGCCCATTTGCACGATTATCAACCGAAGCGGAGTCGGTCTCAGGGGTCTACAAAGCGCCGGCGCAGCAGTGTTGCCAGAACCCAGGCACTGGTCAGAGACATTCCTCCGTTGCCAAATCAATCGCACACCCTATCGAATGCACTCGACGCACAGACTGGCCTAATACACAACGCTGAGACTCCCGCCAAACCATCAGACGACCAAGAGAATGAAGTGGACGCCGATGATGGTTTTGAAATGGTAGATGATCCGCGAGATGGGTCGGAAGATTATGAGGATAAGAACCGGAAGGTCATGCGCAGTCTTCAGCGAGGCGATCAAGTCGAACAGGTTCACAACGTATCCAGGATCGTTGGACTGGAGGCAGTGGAGGGCCTCCTCATCCTTGGAAAAGGACACCTGTACCTGCTTGATAATCTTTTCCAACGTTCCGATGGCGAGGTAGTGAATGTCTGGCAGGCTCCCCGGGAAGAACGTGATGCATACGTGCAAATGATATCGGGACGAGAGGCTGGTGATGGCCCTACGCCATCTATGAAGACAGACTACGAAACGCGAAGCTGGCGCTGGGAGGATGTTCTCAGCATCTCTAAAAGACGCTTTCTTTTCCGTGATGTAGCCATAGAGGTCTTCTTCGTAGATGGACGGAGCTATTTGCTAACAACCAATACTCCAAACCTACGGAATGAGCTATATCAGAAGCTTCTTGGCAAGGCTACCCACGCTGCTGACCCTGCGATTGGCGAGGACTCGTGGAGAATCGAATCGGTCAAGAACCAAGGCGATGAGGTACAGACGTTTGGTTCCAGGTTCACAAGCGTTTTTGCTCAGAACAATGCAAATCCAGCGACTCGCAAATGGATGAGGGGTGAAATCTCCAATTTTCACTACCTCATGCTCGTTAATACTATGGCCGGGCGTACCTTCAACGATCTAACGCAATATCCAGTCTTCCCTTGGGTACTCGCAGATTATACAAGCGAGGAACTTGACCTTACCAATACTCGCACTTTCCGTGATCTGACCAAACCCATGGGGTGCCAAGATCCAGAGAGGCAAGCCGAATTCAGAGACCGTTATCAGTCTTTCGCGGAAATGGGCGATGAGAGATCGCCACCCTTCCATTATGGCACTCACTATTCCTCCGCAATGATCGTGACATCGTATCTCATCCGCCTGCAGCCATTTGTACACTCATACCTTCTATTGCAAGGTGGCAGCTTTGATCATCCAGATCGATTGTTCTACTCGATGGAAAGAGCCTGGTCCTCAGCCTCACGGGAGAACATGACCGATGTTAGAGAGTTGATTCCCGAATTTTTCTATCTGCCTGAGTTCTTGCTGAACAACAACAATTACGACTTTGGCTCTCGCCAGGGTGGTGCTGCAATTGACATTGTAGAGCTCCCGCCTTGGGCTAAAGGTGATCCGAAGATATTTATTGCGAAGCACCGAGAAGCTTTAGAAAGCGAGCATGTAAGTCGGCATCTGCATCAATGGATTGACCTGGTCTTTGGACAGAAGCAACGCGGGGAAGCTGCTCTAGAGGCAACGAATGTGTTCCAACATTTGTCTTATCATGGCGCCAAAGACCTTGACACCATCGACGATCCGGTGGAGAGGTTGGCAACCATAGGCATCATCCACAACTTCGGTCAGACTCCACACCAAGTGTTTCAGCGGACTCATCCAGCCCGGGAGGACTCGAAGTACAAGGTGAAACGGTTGGATACTGCAGCCGAGGGTCTGACTCGTCTGCCATTTCCTCTAATAGGTACGTCATCGAAGAGGATTATCCTGTCCCCCTAATTAAACAATGCCCCCACAGAAACTCATGACCGTATCGCGTACCTACAATACTCGTCGAAGCACGAGAGGCTCATTAGCTCAGCACCTTTCCGGCTCAACATTGGCCCAGCTTATGAAAAGTACATGGAATGGGGTTTCATTGACGGAAGCGTCAGATTCTATGCTGCTGACACGAAAAAGGTACAGAGCCTCATAGCAAACTGTCAGAAGACTACTGACATGCTACAGCTCGTCGGCCTGTCCGAGCACGTCCATCAAGGACAGCTGACGTTCGTGCTGTTTGGAGATTCCAAGACCCTAGTGACGGCAGGTTCAGACTGTACAATATCTGTCTGGACACTGCTTATCACTCCCAATTCTGTTGACCTCCAGCCAAAGATTACGTTGTTTGGACATCGGTCTGCTGTCACGACATTAGCAGTGTCACGTTCTTTCAGTGCTTTGCTCTCTGCTTCTTCGGATGGCCAAGTGTTGCTTTGGGACCTCAATCGCCTGGAGCTTGTCCGCAGATTAACGACGGGCAAGCCAGTCGAGGTGGGTTACTCTCACACATTTGAGAGCGTGGAGAAGCTAACGAATATGCAGTGTGCTTGTATCAACGATGTGACAGGCGTCATCATGCTTTGCCGAGGGCCAGAAGTATCATTGTGGACACTCAATGGCGATCCTATACTGGAGCAAAACATCTACGTTGAAGGCGACGACACCATCTCCTCTTGTGCTTTTTATGAAGGATCTGGGAATGAGTACCTTGAGCGCAACCTCATCTTTACAGGTCATAAGAAAGGGGTCGTGAATGTAAGCCTCCCTCCTCTTCTTTTACTGTCGAGATTCTGCCGGCTGATCATGCCCCAGGTGTGGGCAATTGCCATTTCCAGCGGTGCTTTCATTCTCGAACATGTGAAGCGCATGCATCATTTGGACCACGCGGGCTACAACATTGGCACAACTATTACTTCAATTTTGCCGATGGCGCAAAAGGTGTACACAGGAGATGACGATGGACGAGTGTATGAATGGGACTGCATTCAGAGACAGTGAAGGACCATGATGATAGAGGCTTAGATTGGATGGCTCGTGCTGCAAGTATGACTACGGTTCACATGGACTTGTGGGTTTCAAAGGAGGCTTTCTATAACGAAAAGCAAGGCGCTTGGCGTTGACTCGCCCAGCTCACTGCAAAGTCCACTGGGGGGAAAAGGGGGAAAAAGGGGAAAAAAAGGGAGTGATGATGACTTGGTTCATGTTACGTGTACATAAATCAGATGAAGTATACAGAGTCATGAGGTAGAAGTGTTCATGTGACAAACATTAAGATATCACCTTACAGTTCTATTTCTATTAATAGGATGAAGCACCCAATGACGTCACACTAGTTTTTCCCTCCGGGTTTTAGCAGCCAATCTCCACGTCCCCCTTGGTCAACATTCCCTTCGCATCCCATCGTCCTGAATATATATCACTATTGGACGTGGCCATCCACGTTATCGCCCTCACCATGCCCATGCCAGGTTATGTATTCAAGGATGGAGGCCCTATTCCAGACTCCGACCTCAAGCACCCCCAACATGAGGCCAATCACACCCCGGGCGCCCAGCCAAACATGGAACCTACAACGCGTACCTCCACCATCTCCAGCAGCCCCAACAATGGCACCGTCGTAAATACCCCCACATCATCGAGTGCGTCTGCCTCGAACGCCCCCAGCGACAGCCATGCGCTCGCCATAGAAAGTGCTGATCACGATATCAAAGGTGCTGTCCAGCAGAACCACGAAGCGGGCGAGGTTCGCGATATGGGTTGGAATGACCATCCGACAAATGTGCCCTCGCCTCTGGTGGCTAAGCTGCCGAATGAAGAGCTCTGGACGCTAGTGCGTCGGTTCAATAAGCAAATGTATCATGTCAAGGCCACGAGTGATCCCTTGTTGGGCGGCTTGGATTTAAATATTGTGGACGAGGATGAGTTCAGTCCGGATAAGCTGAGGAGTAATGTTGAGAGGCTGTATATGACTGTGATTATTGGGATGATGGGGTTTGGGAAACATATCGCACGCTTGAGGAGCTGGAGAGAGCCGAGGAGGACCGCTGGGTTTTGCGCGGTGAGTTTTCCACTTTTCTGCTTTTGGCTAATGGAATAGTGGTTGATGCGTATTGCAGGCTTACGCCATTGCTTGGGCTTTCAACTTCCTGATGCCCTTGTTGTTTACGACTATAATTGTCCTCATCGCATACCCGCCGTCGCGCCCATTCTTATTTCCTCCTGTTCCTATGGCTTTGGTCAATTCAAAGACTGGAGGTGTCCAGACTCCTCAAGCTGGCATGCTAGGCAGTAAGGATAGCGCCACTGGGGCACCTGAGAAACACAAGGGAGAGGCAGTCGAGCAAGAAGCGCACAATTTCGTCTCTGGCATCGGATCCATCGCCCTCAGCAGCGCGGCAGGCAAACACGACCAAGGCGATCCGGACTCAGACCCGTTGAATGATTCGGTCCCTGATCCAACCAACATTGCCTCAGACGCAGCGGCGGCCAAGCAAAGTGCGCAAGGAAACCAACCGCAGGCTCATCACGACAAGACGAAGCAGCCGATGGAGCAGGCGATGTGGTTGAAGATGAGGCCGGTTATGCATGTCATTGGTGACGTTGCAGATGGTTGGGAGAGATTCGCAAAGTAAGTTCACTAACCAGATGTTGGGGATGTCCGGTGTAGATGCTGACCGATGTCGTAGCGCCCTATCACCCACTCCTCCCTTTCCCCAGGAGACGCCTAGACTCAAGTTAGCCGGCATCCTAGTTCCGGCTGTCGCTGTTGGGATGCTCACCACCTCTGCCATGTTCATGAAAATGACCACCGCGGGTATCGGCTTTGGTTTCTTTGGTGATCCACTCATCTGGCGTGGTCTCGATTTACTGAACAAGACTTTCCCGCACTGGCAGAAGTTGCTTGAGATCAGAAAGTAAGTCCAAAAAAAAACGTCCCTTTTTCCCAATTAGCTAGCTTAAACGTCCTAGCACCATCCTCAAAGGCGTCCCGACAAATGCCCAGCTCACAATCACCCTCCTCCGTATCGGCGAAGCGAACAAAGCTCCCATTCCCCCACCTCCTCGCTCAGACCAACCTCCATCCTCCAAGCCCGCTTCCATAAACGGAGACGATCTAGCCCTCGATGCCTCAAACGAAGAAATTCACGAGGCAATACACAAAGACGCCGACCAAAAAGCCGCCGAACAGCAAGATGAGCATCACGAAGGAGAGAAGAAGAAACACAAACACGGCCAACACATCCTCGGTTTCTTCAAAGGCACCACTAAAACGGGCGTAGAGGCTAAATTCGGCATCGACAAAGCACGCGCTGTCGTTGGCTCTCGGCACGCTAAAGACCACCTCGGCGTCCTCCCCAAAACCGACGACCCCGAACTGTCCGGTCCCGTCGACTTCAAGGGACGCTACAAGGGCAGCAAAGGCTGGATATACATCTCCACCAACGTCGGTATCCCTACCGTCTCCTTCTCCACCAAGTCCTCCGACGGCACCGGTCTGGAACCCGAAAAGGCATCGGCGAAGTTCTCGGTGCCGATCGCGGACATTAGAGAATTGAAGAAAGTGGGCGGGTTGGGCTGGAAGGCGAAAATCGTCGTCGGGTGGGCGACGGGCAAGACGGTGGCGGATGGGCTGGAGGTTGTGGACAAGAGGGGGGAAACGCACAAGGTTACGGCGGTACGGCTGAGGGAGGAGCTGTTCAATCGGCTGGTGGCTATGGGCGGGCAGAAGTGGGAGAGCTGGTGAGCTGGGGCCGGATGCTTTGGTTCCACCTACGGTCAGAGCTTCTTGAAGCCGTTCTTGCCGTTGCTGTTGTAGTTGCAGCGATGCTTATCAATCAATCGTTTGTATTTGTATCGTAGCTACAGTCTCCTGTGATCATGGCGCACGGATTGCCTGTGAATTGCTTTTGTTTCTCTAATTGAAGTATGTTCTGTGTCTTGTTCAAAGTAAACGCACGAACTGAAGTATCTACATCCAACGCCACTCCCGGCTATACATACGGACGCCACCTCGACCAACAATTTGTTTCTCCTCCCACGTCTGTACTTCGCCGACATCATCAGTCATTAATGTTGCAGCTATACGTGTACAACCTTTCCCTCCATCCATCCATCCATCCTCCGTGTGCACCCTCAGAGTCCCGTCGAAGATCTTCCCACAAATGCCGTCCGAACTCCTGGGGCCTTCCCACCCCCGTATTCCACGAGCGCCCCTCAAGGCTTCGTCAACTGCTCCTTCCTGAACCAGCGGAAGAAGCCCGCGCACACGATGATTTGCGCGATCAATCCGACCCAGAACCATGCTTCCCGGAGACCGTGTAGACTCGTGGCCAGGTTGGGGAAGATCGGGCCGGGACCGGTGGCGTCGGGAGCGCAGGCGCGGGCGACGATGGTGGCGACGGACCCCAGGACTTGTGCGCAGACCAAGGCGAAGACGACGTGGAATCGGGTCAGCGTCTGGAGGAGGATCATGCCGAAGCCGACGCCTTGGATGGCGTCAAGGGTTCCGAGCCATAGCCAGAGAGACCTGCCTGCTAGAGCACCGGCGAGTGGTGAGCCAGCCCAAGGTACCCAGGACCCCATGCCGGAAGTAGCCCACAGCATCTGACACCAGCGGGGTGCGCCGAGACCGACGGCAAACATGGGTAGAATCCACGAATGGCGCAGCGAAGCTCTGGAGAAAATTCCCAGCAAGAGAGCCCAAACACCCACGAAGAACCCGAAGACAAGCAGAACGACCATCCACGTTGGTGCATGAGCGGAGCTCCAGAGGTATCGCCAGTTCCGTCCGTATGGTGCGGACAGGAAGAAGTTCTGGATGAGAACGGTAACGAAGAACCAAAGCACAATCTTGCGGCGCATTACCGATTTGTAGAAACTGGGAATCTGGCCTGGCGCTTGACGATAGTAATCAGGGAGACCAAGGTATAAGGCGATGCCGATGACCCAGAGTAAGATAGCGATGGGTGTAGCGATCGCGGTCAACAGAGGGCCGTAGATGGCGAGGTTTGCCGACACTATGCCGTTGACGGTCTGGTTGGTTAATTGGGAGCCCCAAAACCAGAGGAAGACGACGTAGATTTGTTGAGATCCTTGGATGACGCAGGCCCGGAAGGCCCATGTTGCTACTGGGACGCTGCCTAGAATTTTGTTAGTGAGGGAATGGTTTGGGGGCCCGGAGAGTGGTACGGACCTTCGCTGCCGAAGTTGAGGGAGAAGAAGAAAGCACCGCTTGAGGAAGCCATGGCGTAGAATGCTGTTGCGACATTCTGTACCCAACCGCGGCTGACTGTCGTTTTAGCACATGGTGCTAATCCTAGGAGGAAAAAGGCTAGCCCGTAGAAGGCAAATGGTGTAGCAAGAACATAGACGGACTTGCATGTGCGGAATAAAGTCCACCAAAGGATTGATGAAGCAAGATATATGGAAGCGATGATGTAGAGCTTTTCTGCTGCCTGACCAACCTCACCTGTGAGGAGGGTAATCTGATAGGAATTCGCCGCGATGATTTGACCCTGGTCGAAGAGATCAGCCCGAGCTCATTAGGAGAGTAGAGAGATTGACTTACGAATGCAAGCAAAAAGGAGTACACAGGCCACTCGCCAATCCTCCTGAGAAGAAACTTCTTAATTCGTGTAGGAGGTTTATAATCATCATTCAGGAGGTATTGCCCGTGCGCGTTGTTGTGTGCATCAAAATGTTCCAATTCCGCAGTCGAGGTAACGGCAGAGGGGACCATTCTCTCGTTAATGAGCGGGAGTCGGAAGACGGACGAAGCTGGGGATGCTGCCGCCGATTTGCCCATCTTGACATTTCGGAATCTACTGAACCAATCTTTCTCGCTTGAGGTCAGGTAATCTTCGATACAAAGAGGTCCTTCAGACGATTTGCCATTCAGTTTCTCAAGCTTCTTTTCGAATGCATTATAGTATAGTCCGGTAGGATCAGTGAAAAATGGTTCCACACTCTGAAGCTTGTAATCCTTCTTGCCCTGCAAGACTGAACCGAGACTCAGGTAGTTGGACGAAGGTGCGAGAGGAGATTCCTCAGGATTTCCTGATGAACTGCTGCCAGAGCCCGACTCGATAAGGAATTGCTCAGGTCGGGGCGTACCAGGTGGCGAAGAATTTGAAGAGCTGGTAGAACCCGGCGAAGCTGGCCGAGACGCAAGCGTCGGTATCTGTAGGGAAGCTCCGCCATCCGGCGCATGGCCGGCTTGATGAGCTGCGAAAGACAACTTGAGTCGCGCCAATCTGCGATCTCTCCGACTGGATTCCTGCTCTTCGGGGCTCAGGAGGTATTCGTCCACGTTTCTTTCATCCACGTCGGTCAGGTCGGTCTCGTAGTCGTCTCCGCTCATACTGTTACGCCGAGTGCTGTTCGCACGGGGCGTCCTAGCTCCACGAGGCGTGTTCCCTCCACTCATGATTCGACGTTGTGCGCTATTGCCATCTGGGTTCGCAAAGTCGAACCTGCCAATATCGCCTTGACTGGGCTGGTCGTTGGGAATCGTCACTATATCTCCGTGCGCGCCTTCGGTGAATCGGGACACTTTGCGGCCACCTGCTGACGTCAAATCCTCAGGCAAAGGAGGCATGTCTGGAGCGTGTTCGGCCATCGAGATTGTATGTTCGTCTGGAACCCTGCTTCTGCTTCTAAGTCTGAAGCGCCCCATACCCGCGGGACTGGAAGTCCGACTGCCAACCCGACTGTTTACGGCAGTGTTTGTGGCCGTGTTAGCAGCAGTGTTCGCAGAAGTACTTCTGCCTGATCGAGGGCCAATGGAGGGAGGTCTGGACCCGGCCCGTGATTTGCTAAGTCGGTTGCGTTTTCGTATATCGCGTGTTGGGACATGACCTGGTCCGAACCTCAACCCTAGTGAAAGTGGGCCACTTTTGGCTTCCCTGACTGGACTCGTAGCGCGAGTTGTTGTCCCACTAGGAAGTGCACTAGGAAATGGACTGTGTGGTGCTGTACTTGGCATGCTCCATTGTCCTCTGAGGATACGAGATGGTGTAGACACGCCGGACACTGTGCCCGAGTAACGTGCGATCTTGTCTCTCTGCTTAAATGCTGCTTTCTGATTCAATCTGATCGCCGTATCTTGCATAATGCTCAGATCTTCCTGCCACTGTGCAATTGGAAATCGCTGTTTTGCTGATCGTGCTCGCATCGTAGCCCGTACACTTTTTTTCGAAGCCAAGGCACCTTCTATTGCCATTTTGAACTGGCTGATCAAATGCTTGCTGGTAGTTGATTCAATAGTGTACCACCATCTATGACAGGGTCTTGTCAGTATGACTCCACAGTAGAGCGACGACAGGCAACCTATTTCCTCAAAGTAACGGATGCTCTCTGACATATTGTTGACCGAGTAGTACAGACGAAGATAATGGGATATACGAGAGGGCACTTACCCAGGCATGTTCCCTAAACCACCGACCCTGGCGCCAACACCAAGTGCTCCCTTCCGACCAAACTCTACCGCGACTAATCCGAATGGCTCGTCGCGTGAAGGTATGAGAGCGAACTCGGCACCACTAAAGATGAACGGTGGAAGTGCAGTGAACTCTGGCTTGGAGAACACTCGGTCCGGGTATAACTCCATCAATCTGGCCAGCTTTAAGGCCGCGAATTTTCCATGTAGATCAATGACTGGTCCTATGCAGATGAGTTGTACATGTGAATGATCTTCCAGGATGGCCGGAAACACATCAGCAATAAGGTCGACTCCCTTTTGGACCGACCACCGGCCAACGAATACAAACAATTCTGCGTCAGGGTCGGTTGCCAGATTTGCCCATTCTTGAGCCTGGCGCTTGAGAGCACCTCTGCTGGTTTCGAACGTCTCATCCACAGTAATACTTTTGATATCTGGAAGTTGTTTATCCCAGCCTTCGGTATCGGTGGGGTCCGGATTCGGCAGACTTCCCACCTTGTCAAGGCCCCATAGGATCGGATACCTTGCGAAGGACCGTTTGCCATACTTCTCAGACACACCGGCAGCACCATATCCTTTCTGCCATACACGCAGGTAGCTTGCACCGGCATGGAGGAGATTGAATACCTCGCCAAATTGAACATAATCGCTGACGACCTCAGGCCTAAGGTTGTAGATTTTGCAGACTTCGTCGAACTCCGATGGAGTCCGCACGGGCCATAAACCCTGGAATTCAGCGTTATGGAGAGACAAGCAGCAAGGGATGACACGTGGAAGCAAGTGCAGGGGCGCGACAGCGCCATGGTAGTCGTTGATGTGGTAGAGGTCGATGGGAAAGCGGCGCATCGCCTCCGCGATACATTGGTTCCAGGCTGAATAGTATACAGCACTGTCGATGTCGTCCATTCGTGCCGGGTAGGGATCCGCTTTCGTTTGCTGGCGAAAGACAGGCGCATCCAATAGGACATAAGTGATGTTCCTCAGATGGTGATATTGCACTTCGACATTATACTCTTGTTCGAGGACGGTTATTGTCATCGGCTTCGCACGTTGGTCCACAGGATAGTCTATCCCCTGTACGCAAGGGACCACCCAGATCAAATCTTGATGTTCGAGATGCTTGCCCATTGTCTGAGCCATGACTCCTAGGCCACCGATTTTTATCTTGATATCCCAGTCATCGATGTCATACTCCATGGTTGCGATCAATATGGTCTTCCGACTTGCGTTGACCATAATACTGGGCTGTTCACTGTTCGGCTTTTTAAAGAATGCCGAGGCGTTATCTGGGAGTTTTGAGAGAT